TGGGATTGGGGAATTCCTGGGATCTGGGGGGGATTTTAGGGTGTGAGATTTGGGATTGGGGGATCCCAAGAATTGCAGGATCCCAAGGATTGGTTGATCCCAGGGTTTGGATGATCCCAGGGTTTGGATGATCCCAGGGGTTGGAGGATCCCAAGGATTGGGTGATCCCAGGGTTTGGATGATCCCAGGGATTGGTTGATGGATCCCAAGGATTGGTTGAAGGATCCCAAGGATTGGGTGATCCCAGGAGTTGAAGGATCCCAAAGGTTGGAGGATCCCCAGGATTGGTTGATCCCAAGGATTGGTTGGAGGATCCCCAGGATTGGTTGATCCCAGGACTTGGAGGATCCCCAGGATTGGTTGATCCCAAGGATTGGTTGGAGGATCCCCAGGATTGGTTGATCCCAGGAGTTGGAGGATCCCCAGGATTGGTTGATCCCAGGAGTTGGAGGATCCCAAGGATTGGTTGATCCCAGGGGTTGATGAATCTCAAGGATTGGTGGATCCCAAGGATTGGTTGATCCCAAGGATTGAAGGATCCCAAGGATTGAAGAATCCCAAGGATTGGTTGATCCCAGGGGTTGATGGATCCCAAGAATTGGTTGATGGATCCCAAGGATTGATGGATCCCAAGAATTGGTTGATGGATCCCAAGGATTGATGGATCCCAAGGATTGGTTGATCCTAAGGGTTGGATGATCCCCAGGATTGGTTGATCCCAAGGATTGAAGAATCCCAAGGATTGGTTGATCCCAGGAATTGGTTGATCCCAAGGATTGAAGGATCCCAAGGATTTGTTCATCCCAGGAATTGAAGAATCCCAAAAGTCAAACAATCCATCCCAAATCTCCTCCAAGCCCCCCCCCCAAACTTTACCAAATCCCAAATTTTTTCCTATTTTTCCCATTTTTCCTGGTTTTCCCGCAGCTGTGCCGGCGGCACAAGGTGGGAATCCTGTACTGCAAGGCCGGGCAGAGCTCGGAGGAGGAAATGTACAACAACGAGGACGCCGGGCCCGCGCTCGACGAGTTCCTCACCCTGCTGGGAGAGAAAGTCTCCCTCAAATCCTTCACCAAATACGCGGCACAGCTCGACACCAAGAGTGAGTTTGGGCATTCC